TATAAACCCCTATAAAACCAATTAAAAACCAAATATTAGTAGCTGTTATCCCTATTAAAATTATTCTTAAAATCATCCCTAAGTAAAATCCTCCCTAGGTCAGGCCCGCTTGCTGGAAAAGCCATGTCTTGAGGGCGCGGCGGAAAGTAAGGAGATCCGGAATCGTCCGGATCTCGGGGGGCAGTTCGTTCCAGAGGGTTGAGGGGAAAACAGGATGGTTGAGGGGAAAACAGGAAGAAAAAGGAATATTGTGTGTGATCGCTGCATGGGTTACTTATAAAAACAATAAAAATGGGAAATAAATAAATAAATTTACATTTTTAAAAAACATAAAATTCCTTTTTTGGATAGTAGAGAATCCCTAGAGTGGATCGGGCTGAATGCTTTTGGTTTTAATTTTATTTTTTTTCTGAAGAAGGTTTAAGAGGCAAAACAAAGGTATTAAACTGTCCTCAAATGTCTTCACACTTTCCAGAGGAGCAGTGACTCTCCTAACTCCAACATAATATAAAGACCACTTTTTAAAAAGAAGGTTCTTTCGCTTTATCAAGCACCATCAAAGTTAGAGGGGAAAAAAATAAAGGACATTCACAGTACAAAACTTTCCAAGCCACAAAAATGTCCAGTAGTGACTTTTTGCTGCCAAAAACAACTATTCCGGAAAACTTTGCTGTTTGGCATTTTCTACTTCATATCATTTTGAAGGACAATAGAAAAGGCCATTTATTGTTCAACAGCAGGGGTCTCCAAACTTGGCCCTTTTATAACTTGTGGATTTCAACTCCCAGAATTCCTCGGCCAGGCACGCTGAGGAATTCTGGGAGTTGAAGTCCACAAGTCATAAAAGGGCCAAGTTTGAAGACCCCTGCTCAACAGGAACAGAAACACTCTGTGCAGAATAAAAGAAGGCTGTGTTCCCCATTGGTGTCCCCAATTAACCCCCCTAAACCAAGAGCAGCGGAGATGCCAGTCTTAAGAACGGCTTCATTCTAGATCTCTGCTTTCCAGGAAGCTTCATTCTAGACCTCTGCTTTCCCAGAAGCTTCATTCTAGACCAGACATGTCAAACAAAAGGCCCGGGGGCCGGATGCGGCCCGCGAAGTGGTTTCATGTGGCCCGCGAAGCCATCCTGGAAACAGTGAGGGAACGGCCCCCGCTGCCTTGGCCCTGGCCCAGGCCGGCCGAGAGCCAATGTACAATTTTGTGGTGGTTATCTATGCTGAAATGCATTCAGTCTTAGCTCCACAAGGCCGTCTAGAAACAGCGAGGAACCAACCCTGCCGCGTCGGCCCCACCCCCTGGGTGCATGCTGGGGAGGTGTCACCCTTTGTGAGGAATGAATAAATGGATCATTGCCTGGAAGTGGCCAGCAAATGGCCCTCGCCTACTTCACATATCCGGCTTGATGGGGAGGGGTTTTGGCAGGCAGCGGGGAATTCTCACATGCCCACCCAATAGGCCACACCCACTCCATCCATGCCCACCCAGTAGGCCACACCCACCCTGGCCATACTCACCCGGCCCCCCAAGGGCAACCGCAATGCTGATGCGACCCTCAATGAAATTGTGTTTGACACCCCTGTTCTAGACCTCTGCTTTCCCGGAAGCTTCATTCTACATCTCTGCTTTCCCGGAAGCTTCATTCTACATCTCTGTTTTCCAGGAAGCCAGGTACTAGATCTCTGCTCCCCTAGAAGTCTGGTTTCATGACTACCTCTTCCCACAGAACATATGCGAGTGTAGACTAATCAGATTCCAACCATACCACACCGTAGTAAAATGTGGGTCTTGACAGGGTAATGACCAGCCACTGCCACCATCCCCCAATCCCACCTGTTCTCACCTGGATGAATGAAGACCTTCTCCACAGACAGCATGGCTGCAATGGGGAGCAGCAAGTCATCACAGCCCAGAGAGGCAGCCTTGAGGACGGCACAGGACAAGTTAGGAGGCAGAGGCAGCCAAACCATG